TGTCACGGCCCCCCCCCCCGCTCTTCAGGAACAAGCTCCAAACCCCCAGAAATCAGCACAACCACACGCTGTCTTCCCACTTCTGCTCTGTATTATTGGGCGAAATACCGCTTTTATTAAAACAAAACTTGTTATTCCATTTCCTCTTTAGAGAACCTTAGCGCTCCCCCACGGAACGTGCGTCTCACAAAATGCCGCGGATACCGTGAAATTGAGGACATGTAAGGTTAGAGACTCATCCGTGATGGAGGAATATATTCTTTTTTATTTTCCCTTTGTTTTTATCTATAGCAAAAGCTATTGCCATATACATACATACTTAGCTATAGCAAATAGATATATATATATAGATATATACTTAGCTATAGCAAAAGGCTGGAGAAACTTTGCATTAGTTAATAGTTCTTGTCCTGATGACAAGTCAAACATTGGAAAGTAGAATCATTACTTCTCCAGACTCCAATATGGAAAAATCGATGCTTTTGATCATCCCTAACCGCATTCAGCATAGCTCCAGAGCAGCTTTTCCTTCAAGAAGAGAAGGATGGCATCAGTATCACTGAAAACCTTCCACGGCTGCTGTACCAAGCCCTTTAATTACACAGATCTGGCTGCCTGCTATTGTTTCCTGCCCATTCGAATCTCGATCACGCAGAAAAAGAGCTCAGGTAATTAAAATCTCAGTTAGAGAGGCTGACGGGAGAACCAAGACGATGAAAACGCTGCTTTTGGCTTTAACGCTGTCAGTTCCCTTGCCTTCCAATCGATACTTCCTCATCCCAGCGTGCAGCAGTAGTAACCTGACCATGAGGTGGGATTTTAGGAACCGCCCTGTGCTATTTGGCTACTGGGAGATGACAGAGCCAAGAGCCTGAAGCAAAGGCACCTCCAGCATCACCAATGCAACGTTATTATATGCCCGTCTGCTCCAGCCAACATTCGCTGGGCTCACGCAACGCATCGCCTCGCAATACTCCGCGTCTCTCCGTCTGATTACGGCGCAACGCTCCTTTTGAGTCCCTTTCAATGATCCCAAACCTGAGGCACAGACAGGATAAAGGACTTCCCCAGCGTGGCAGTGACAGCAAGCAGTAAGCTAAAACCTAAACCTGAGATTCTTCAAAGAGTTTGATGCTCGTTTCTCCCCCCAGCGCACGCCTGGGTAGGACTTCGCCGAATACCTACATGACTGCATCGCTTCTGTGCGTGACCTAATTGGCATTCATACTCAGCGATCTACGTACCAGAATCAAATTCAACCAAGACGTTGTCAGACTTCAGGTCTCTGTGCGCTATTCCGTGTCGAACGAGATGATCCACGCCTTCCAAAAGCTGTAAAATCATCATCGTGGAGAGACAAACGTCCGGACTGCTCTCCCTCAGATACTGGCGCAGGGTGCACGGATAACTAGTCAGAACAAGGAAAACCTCGAATTAGCATCCCGGAAGCTTCTCGCTTGCGGTTCAACCTCAGTGCTGTCTGCCTGGGGATACCGCACACTCGTACATGCCAAATCCTTCCCGACCTCCGCGACGCCTTCCCACCTCCCAGCCTCAACCCAACACCGCGCCTCTGTCTGCTGTTCTCAAATCCCCCGTTCTGCAACACCGCCCGCCGCTGAATTTTCGGCGTTCTTGCCTGAGTTCAACAACTGCGAACAAAAGAAGCCTCTTCAACAGCATGGCGAGGGGCTCCGGGGACACAGTGGTCATTCTTACAGGTTTTTATGTCCCGGTGTTATATTTTGCATGGAAGAGGAGGCACGTTATTAATGCAGATCGTACAAGCAAAAGGAGGTGGTGTGCTCATCAGGAGAAAGAACACATTCTTGAAATACAGAGAAGACAGAGCACTTCTCCAGATGCAGGCAGAACAAAAGAGTGGGAAACAGAAGGTGCTTTTATGTCAGTGCCACAGCAATTCAAAACCAAATTCAAAACCAAAACCCAACCGAGAAAGCCAGAGACACCGAGCACTAATAAATCTCATTACCGATTCTACTCCGTCTCTAGCGGCGCATTCAGACTAGGGGTGAAGTTCAGACTTAGAAGGGCAGACAAACGGGGACGAGCTCCACATTTCTTATTTTAATTTGGGGTAATCATTAAAAAAGAACGGCTTGTCTTCATTGTCGAGCTAGAATTAAAACCTCAAGGACTTGGAACAGTTCTTAGGCGGCGCTTCCAAGAGCGTACTCCGCTTTTTGGCAGCAGCCCAGGCCAAAACTTTGCAAGGACCCGTGCAGCAGCAGAATACGCAGCCCCGCTGGGCAGTCTCATGAAAAGCCCGAGTCGCGTTAACAAGCTTCTCTCTACCTACTTCTTCATCACCAAGAAGAGCGTGCGGCTGTGACCAATCCCTCTGGGATTCAGGCTTAACGGAAGAACGTCGGGATAGTCTGCGAAGGCTCCGGGCAGCAAAGGGACGGAGGATGTGAACGCTCGGATCACCCGGATTATATTCGGATGAGGTTGCAACTTCTTCTTCCCAAGGACCGTTTTTCTGCGGAAAAGTATAGATACCACAGATTACATCAATCTCCCGCTCAGTTCTGATTTATCACCGGCATGTCTCTGTTCTATCTGGAATTACTTTTCATCAGTACAGCCCGTCCTCCCCACCAAAGGGTTCCAAAGCACGTTTATTCTGCAGCAAAAACGTTATTAGAGAGAGCATTAAGACTGCCCGGTAGAGATTACAGGACTGCACGTGAAGCAAATATTCAAACGTTCACACCCTAGCAGCCACTCGGTTCAGAAGAACAGTGGCAGCAACCTCCCTGCCCTCACACCAACTCCCTAACCAGCGCCTCAGCCCAGCGCTCCCCACGCCGATGCAGAGCACCCACAGCCTGAGCCGATCCACCGCGGCGGCGGGCAGGTCCCGGCACTTCCTCGGGAGTTCAAAAATCTACCCCGGCGCTTCCTGAACCGTCATCGAGGCGGTGCCGTCTGCTGATACACCGGCGGAATGTACGCAGACCGAGACTCGACCTGTGGCTGCTAGGAGGACTGCGCTGTAACTGGATTTCCCTATATCCGATGGCCGAACAGGAAATACCGGTGCTTTACCCGCGCTGCAAACGAAGCTTTGCTGGAAACCCTTACACTTAACGTGCAGCCTTGAATTTTATTCAAACCCTACTAGCCCTTCCGTGCTGCTAACAAAGGCGGAGCCAGTCACAGGCTGCTTCTCGGTTCAAAAAGAACGACGACGACAGCTTTAGAGGAAAAAAAAACCCAAACACGATTACTTTGTTAGACATAAAATAAAGGTCAACTTCACACTAGGCGTATGGATTTAGAGGCTCTATTTCATGGCACAGGCAGGAAGCACTGACTGCAATGAAAGGCAGGTTACCTCTCTGTATCCGCAAACCAGATCTCTCTCCCTCTCATCCCCTGAATGTCAAATATCCCTTCGGCTGCTCTGTTGCATTCTCAGCTAGCGACATGCCACACAGCATTCATTATTCATTTGTATTGGCGGCCGAGATGTATTTGAAATTTAAATCAGACAATCTGAACTGCGGACTCCATTGTTTCAAATTGAACAGAAAGACCCATTTTTTAACAAAAATGTAGCTAACTCGAGATAATTTACAAGCTGCCGTGCGATTTTCCACCTTCATGCTGTTCGCTCATTTTCCACTCGGGCAAAAGAGTGGGAACGGAGTCATTTTCCATTTTCTTTCTCACCGGTTTCCCTGCACTAGAACAGTTTCCGCCTCCCTGCCCGGCACCCATTTTACAGCCAAACCAGTTCTAAAATAATACAGTCAAATTGTAACACAGTCAAATCGTTTGACGTTTAATACAGTCAGACTGTTACCGACGGTAGGCGTCTATTTTTGTAAATAAAAAGCACCGTGACGCACATTTAAATGATTCCTAATTAGCTCCTCCTAGCTTTTAACAATTTATCCAGGTATCAAAGCATTTTACACAAGGGGAAAGAAAGACATGGGGCATGGCAGTGTCGGGGCACGGTCAGCCATCGGACCGCTGGCAGGATGGATGGGTCCCTAATTATCGGCGTACCCTTTCGACGACGCCATCCAAGCCGGCACAGCCTAGCTGCGGGGATTCCCCGCACGCCAACAAGCCCTGCCACGATCTGCCCCTCAGAGTAAAGGGGACCATCTTAAATCACTGTCTGAACGGCGGGATGGCTCTCTGGTTTCCTACCTGCGCCAGAGAAAAGCATGCCGGAGAAAAATCCCCAAGGCAGCCAGCAGCCCGTCCCTGCGTGATGTTGGAGGCGTGCGGCACTTCTGAAGGCTCCGTCGTTTAGACAAAACATCCGCGCACGCCTCCCGAGCCATTAATAATCCCAAGGCTTTGTTTTTATCTACTTTCAGAAACTATTCCAGAAACCTCTGGCCATCTGCTTAACAGTACAGATGTGCCGCAAAATTGATCGATGGATAAAATGAGCGCGTCGCCGTTTGAGAACCGCCGCCATTTCCATCGTGACCGTACCTGCGGCCAGAGACAGCTCCGTACTCTCCGGCTAAGGCAACCCCCGTGGCTGGCACAAGCTCTCGGCCCATAGCGTCGAGGATGGCTTCACTTGACGAACCAGCCTGCAACAGCAATTACACGCCACGTTGATTTAAGCTCCAAAATCCTCCAGGCTCAATACAGACCGAGAGGGGATAATCCTGACGCTGGCACTGCGTCTGGAGTTAGATCAACTGAGACACGATCAAAGGGACTCCCTTCTCTACTTTGAAAATGAGGGAGGGCAATTAACTACCTAAAGAATTTACCAAGGGACATGGCAAGGCCTTTTCTTGCAGAAAGAAATCCATTTGTCTCTTCAAATGCGTCCTAGCACTCTGAGCTATACGTTTACACTCACTTTCAACTTCAAAACCTGACTGGAAAAGCCCACAGCTAAATGCCAGGGTATTTCTGGAGCCCAAGGGGTTTTGGACGTTGTTGGCATTTTGGAAGACTCTCTTGTCACATCAAGTGCCACAAAACGTTTTCAAGGGGAAAAGCCACGTGGATTTTTTTTAAATGTGGAATAGCCACGCGGAGCGGGTGGATCGCCAAAGAGTCACCGGGCTGGGAAACGCTAGGGCAGATCTCGCCCGTTCGCTTCACGGCAAGGGGAGCCAGCACGCAGGGTCCCTGCCCCACCCCTGCGACCGCTGACTTGCACCTCGGCCGCCCCTGGCAGAAGAAAATCTACTTCTATCCTGACGCCTACAAGGACACCGATTCCTAAAGCACCGGCAGCAGTGGCTTCCCATTTCTTACACCTTGCCATTACAGCCAGCTTCAGAAGAGCTTTTCTTCCAGAAACATCACCTCCATAACCAACAACTCCACCACCAGCAGCTCCCGATGCCGATTCCAGAAGAACGATGAATGCTCCTTACCTTGCTCCGGGACTGCTCGCTACCAATTGACGTCGCCGATGTCACCTATGAACAGCTCTGTTTCGACACGCTCGCCGTGCGCTACATAATTAGCGCTTGACACACTCAAGTGTTCAACCTTTCAGCCAGACTTTCCCACTGACAGACAAGGAGATTAAGAACCGACTCCTTACCGAAATGTTCCACATCATTTTGATAGCTAACGGAAAAGCCGCTTGCGGTTGGTGTTTCTCTACAGACTCCTCTTCAGCCGCCTGCGAAGCCGAGCTACGATCCCGCTGCACGGCCGGCCCCGGCCCTGCCAGACGGCTGCTCTCCGCACGCTCCCGACGATCGCGACAGAAAGAAATAGCTGCTTCGTACACAGCGGCGCTGCAGCCCTTCCCGATGGGTTGGCCAATGCGATATTCTTCCAGCTTGAAGCCCTGCCAGCGGAAGGAGCTCAGGGGATCTTTCTGTGGCTTGTTCTTTCCAACAAACACAGTCTGAAAGGAATAAGAAAAGACAACGATAAAAAAAACCCGCTTGGTTATTCAAGGCTTCCCAACGAAGGAGAACTCCCTTACTCTTTAAGCGGTATTACGCATCCCGTTGGGTTGGTCCAACCAGAAAGCCACCATCAGACTCTAACTATTACGGCTCAAATCACGGTAACCATGGGGAAAATAATTTGCAGACCATATATTTTTTGTCTGAAACACATTACCCTGAAAACAGTCTTTACCAAAGGTGCCCTTTCCGAGGGTGCTGTAGAGGAATGGGGAGTCACTGGCTAATCCAGAACGTAAATATGTTTTGTAAAGACAAGTCTAACCCAATACTTCTAAAAAGAGATGCGCTATTACACTTTTCTCCCTCTCCATAAATAAACCAGGCAAATAGCATTTAAAAGAAAAGCCATTAAGAGCAACAACAGATGGAAAAACAATGCCCTGAGCTTTTCTGGCAGCCAGGTATGAGGGTCGAGGAAGAATTGGTGACAGGAGAAAACTGGGGGAGGAAATCAAAAGAGACGCGAGAAAACAAAGCACGGGAGGGCTGTTCCGGACTTCAACCACAGCATTCGTGAGCGTACGGGTCTGGCGGTGCCAAGCTGTCACCGGGACCGACACAAACCAGCGCGCTTCGCTGTCATCTACAAGCCCGACGTGCCGGTGGCCGCCAAAGGGACGCGGATTCAGGGACGGCGGAAGGGGGAAGCACAGCAAATTTAACTACGCAGCGAGGGCAGGGGGGAGAAAGCATCCTGAGAAACTTCAGGGGAAGGCAGAACCTCCGTGGCAATGTGTTGGTCTGCCGGCTAGCGGGGCAGGCGACAGCTGGCCCTGCACACCGTGGGCTATTTTTACCCAGGAAATATGTTCAGCAGCGCCCGT